ACCATCTAGTCTTTGTCAGGTAAATATACAGGAAAATGATCCAGGATCAAAATATATGGAAAACAATCCCAGCTCTATAAACAAAATTGTGTTCAATAACTCCACACAAAAAGTTGCTGGTTCCGGGAGATTGATTATCTAGCAATCTGCTTCAATGATTATCATTAGAACTGTACTGTAACACTCAGTTGCCTCACATGACAAGTTCACCACTTTAAATTATAATTATAATAGTTACAATGATTACAAATGAACAAAATAATGGTTGTTGAATTCTTTAAATATCTTTTTCAGTCCAGCCTTTGCATATCTTATGATGTTACAACAGTTTGCACAACAGACCTAAAGTGTTAATTTTGCGACCCATTTTGAAAGCTCTCTCCTGAATTGTGCCCAGTCCTCCAAGTCAGTAGAGGCCACATTGTGTGCTGGAATGGCAGGGTCTTGAATAATTGGCAGCTCAAATTGGACTGGAAAACTCTCCCTGGGATATTCTTCTGCCAGGTAATACTCATTCCATAACACTCTAGATAAGAGGTAAATAATAATAACAGAAGTTAAGTTACACAAACCAAAATTAATTAGGCTGTGTTCACATTAAAGCCGAAACATGATTAGAATATTTACTTGTTCCAAGGAAACATGTTTCACATAAACATGTTTGTTATTGCATTGTTCACATCAGATGTCGGTTTCAAACATGTTTCATGCATGGTTGTATAATTTATGCTGCTTCACGGTACTCACATTTGTCATTAAGTTTTGCAGAAATGTTCTCCCAAATATTCTGCTTTCTACCCATCGCTGATAATTGCTGTTGTATTTCTTTATCAGCCCATATTTCAGCTAGACATTTGACCTCATAATAGCCCGAATTTTGGTTCTTTTGGGCACCGCATCCATCTGCCAATTTGAATGTGTTTGGTCTGATCATGATTGAGTGTTTGGTCCAAGCATGCTCAGAATAATCATGCTTCAACCATGATTCGCGCAATGCACTGTCTGATGTGAACACTAACGAAACATGTTTTATTCGTGATCAGACTAATCATGTTTCAGCCTAGTGTGAACACAGCTTTTGTCACTTAGTACCAACTGACAAAATCTTTGTGCTTTTGCTCAAGAAAAAAAAAATGTTTGGAGGTGATAGAATTCCTACAGTTATTAAGGGTGGCTTCAATTAGCACAGTCATGTTGTTATAGTTAGCATGTGTCGATCACTTTTGAACATGCAGGCCACAAAGACAGTAACCAAGAAGAGGTTAGATATTTGATATTTTGCATTTTGTCCAGTTTGTGAAAATTTTTAAAATAACTAAAACTATTTGGAGGTGGTTGATTTATAATTTACAATACCAAATCATTAGAGAGAGCAAGAAAAATGTGTAAAGAAATGTACATTGTACAGCAGTTTTCAGATTAAGAAGTAGGTCCGCAGTGCGTGCAAAATGCTAAGGTTCTATAGCCTCTGTCTGGATTGTATGCCTACAATTTGCCAGCATGTGATTTTAAAAAGTAGGTTTTTAGGATGTGAAGGAAAACAGTTTTGTACGTTTTAAGGATTCATTTATTAGAATGTTATATACATTGATCAGTCCCCAAGTTATTAACACTGAGAAAACGTACTCGAGTGACTCGTCACCAACCATGTCTGCAAGTTCCAAGAATACATCTTTGTCTGCCCTCACTGCATGAGACTGATCATCTTCCCTTTAAGAGTACAATGATTTCTGAAGTTTAGTAGGCTTGTTGTAAAAATAAATAAATGAATAACCCCTTGTTTACCATTGGTCAGTGTTTATAGCACATAGGCTATTAGGGCCAAGGAATCAAATTTCAGAAGCAAATATTTAAAACTTAGCATAACAAGGTTAAAAACACCAACTCGCAAAGAGCAAGCCAGTTGATATTTACAAGTCTTTTGAAATTCTGGCAATTCTATTACTGAAAAGTTGGGAGTGTATAATTTCCCTTGCTTAGAAATTATGAATTTTATAAAAGACATACTGCACTGAACCAACAGCAGCAAAAGAAGGTACATACTCAATGCCAAGAACGACTTGACAGGCTGCTGTGACGAGTAGAGACAGTAGGTACTGACTGGGTGTGGATGAGGAATTCCGCCATGCTACGCCGTTACTCCACACCTTCACAATGCGAATCATCTCCTTGCACTGATACGAAAACACAAACATTCTATTTGCCATCTCTACACAAGGTTTCTCACTCCTTCTCAGTAATGTTGTCATAATATTGTTTGCCCAAAATTCCATGCAAGCACGCACACAATTATTTGTTAATTTTGCTGACTGTCCAAACTTGTCTAATTCTGTCCAGACTTAATTTTGACATGTGTCCAATTTGAACCGTTCAGTGGGCGATATGATTAAAAGGTAATAGGACTGCATATTAGTACAAATTATTTGGACTTGAATTTGAAAACTTGAACAGCATGTGGTTCTATTCCGTGTACCACTTGTAGCTCTCTTGATCATTTAAATGCTAGACAAACATTTTTTAACCTCATGAGAGCTAATAAGAAACCTTTTGCAATAGTGCTATTGAGACTGTGGTCACAGGGAAATTTAAAACCAAGAATACCTTTGTTGTCTGCAAGGAAATAAACTCTGTTTGTCTCTCGCAGACTGAAATATTATAGCTAGAGGGAAAGACACAAAGAAAATTGTTAACTGTATCTGTAGGTGTAAAAAATAGACAAAAGCCACAAAGGGACTTAATTTTCTAGGAATGTTTCCAGAGGGGAAGGGGTTCTCCCTATAATGGCCTATAATGACTCTGCCTGAAAGGGGTTCCTTTTACAGGCTTTAGGTATATAAAAGTGTAGGGCATTGACAAGGTGGGGTGTATGAAGGGGTACGGAAATCTGTCATTTACTCATTTTAAAGGGCCTTTAAAATATTTTTAACAGATGTATCTTATGGCTGTGTCATTTCATTTATTAGGCACTACATGAAAATAACATGAAGATGTCATTTTTGGCGATGTATTCATAATGTGGGCCAGTTATGTGAAAACTTAAGGGTTCTTTTTTTCAATTAAAAATATATGAAAGGGGTATATTTTCTGTTAAAAATGGTATACAAAAGGATAAGCACTTCATTTCGCCCATGCTATTTCTTGCTCTCTTACAGAGGGAAACAACATCTGGAACTGGATAGTAAAATGATTCAACAATCATCCTAGCCTGTGTTACAGCAGCCCTCCCCAGAAGAAAAAATCGGATCTAGATTATATTTGAACAAATCTCTCTTTTCCAGAATCGCAAAATATTTAACAAAATGCTACTTACAATAGCTGGGCATCTGCCGGCTGGCTCAAGCATTGTTTGTACAAAGCTGTGTAACCTCCCATTGGCTCCCAGTCATTAACAGGCATGACCACCACATTGACGTCATCACATTTGAACAACACAGCTGTAGAAGTTGTGGTGAAATCTGAACATGGTGGCAGTTTGCTTGCAGCAAGCTGATTGTCATCACTTAAGTTGTGCTCTGCTTGTTTAGAACTTTCCTGTTTCAGTAAGGTCTTGATAGTAAACACTATGGCTGGTAACCAGCTCTTATGTTCAGTCCTTGGGAGATCTAATCAATAAAATTAAGTTTCTTAGTTCTCGGATGTACAGTGGGGAGCCGGTGTGGATGCCTTATCACTCCTGCTTTGGTGCAATTTTGAAACGGAGATCACAGACTATCATGAGAATGACTTCGACTTTTTTCATTCATGGAAACCTAAATATAAAGGTTTAGGTTATTTAAAAAAAAAATAACTTTTTGAATGCCACTGAAACTAAATCAGAAGGCTCTTTGAGCTTACTTCTGAATGCAGGGGCTGAATGAAAGGGAGGTTAACATGACAAATATTATAGACTTTGAGTATAAGCATTAGTTGACTATTACTTCTTCCCTTATGTTTCGCATGGTGCTAGCCACGCGCGTTGCAAAAGCCGCGCTCAATTTTCTCCACGCTAATATTCACGGCATCTTTTGTTCTTTTTTCGAATTTCTGTAAGTTAAAAAAAATCACGAATAAAATAAATCAACTAATACTTTTCGAAGATATATTTGACGTTTTACATCGACCTTTGTCAATTGTTTGGCCAAAGACAGAGAAGTACTATATGTCATGATACCAGCGTCTTCCTCCCAGACTTCGCTGATCGGGCTTTCAGTTTTAAATAGAGCTTTTATTATTATTATTATTATTATTATTATTATTATTATTATTATTATAATTATAATTATTATTATCATTATAAAGTTCTTGATTATTATTATCATTATTATTATTATTATTATTATTATTATTAATATTATTATTAAGGAACAACAGAATTTCTGAATTTTTTACCAGATACATGTAAGATTCAAGTTTGTATGGAAAAGTGCTCAATAAAGTTTGTTATTATTTTTAAAT